GTCGGGTGTGAATCCCACAAAGGCTTATGCTCTAATAAATTTGTTAGTCTCTAAGGTGCCACAAGTCCTCCTGTTCTTCTTTTTGCGGATACAGACTAACACGGCTACTACTCTGAAACAGGGAGAAGGTAGGTACCCACTGTATGTGGGGTGGGCCGGGACCCCAGACTGGCAGCGGGCTGAGTGAATCTGGCAGCCAGGATCCCGGCTGGCAGGAGCCGGCGGATGGAACCCCTGAGCGGCAGTGAGCTGAGCCGCTCAGTCCACTGCCAGTCTGGGGTCCTGGCTGCCGGCCCCACACAGCCCACTGCTGGTCTGGGGTTCTGGCTGCCGGACCCTTGCCAGCCAGGGTCCTGGCCGCAGGCCTCGTTCAGCCCGCTGCTGGCCTAGGTGAACAGAACCCCAGACCAGCAGCGGGCTGAGCGGGCCAGTGGTGTAAGATCAACATTTTAATTTCATTTTAAATGAAGCTTCTTAAACATTTTGAAAACCTTGTTTATTTTACAATACAACACTAGTTTAGTTATATAATATATAGACTTATAGAGAGAGACCTTCTAAAAAACATTAAAATGTATGCACGCGAAACCTTAAATTAGAGTGAATAAATGAAGACTCAGCACACTGCTTCTGAAAGGGGATAGGGTGGGTTGGATGTGGGGGTCTCTGGAGGAGGCAGTCAGGGAGCAGAGGGGGTTGGATGGCAAAGACCTAAGGCAAAGAAAAACCAGCCACTGGCCAACTCCCACTTCTCCCCACAATAAAAAGGGTCCTAGTGCTGACTATGGCTAATTATTACTAAAACGTTTTAGAGAAACACAGTTTACACACACACACACACACACACGCATGTATGTGTATTTTTAGGTTATTTTGAGCACGTGTCTTACCTTATCCTAACACAGCACCACAGCAGTGCAAATTGTAGAGCACTATGACATGAAAAGACAAACGACAGATTAACTCTTTTAATCAAAAAGGCCAGGGTCGGCTCTAGCATTTTTGCCGCCCCAAGCAGCACCAAAAAAAAAAAAGGCTGCGATCGCGGCGGCAACTCTACCGCCGCAATTCGGCGGCAGGTCCTTCGCTCCGAGAGGGAGTGACGGCCCCGC